CATTCCCTCGGTATCTCAAAATCGAACCCTAATTACTTGTAAGCATTAAAAAATTAAAAAAATATATTAATAACTGTACACTTGTATTTTAAGCTAAAAATCATAATATTTTTAAATTTCGTGCTAAATAAAATTCTTGTCACTCTCATACTTCGGTGGGACGACTACTCGACACGGCCGGTGAGAGTTAAGGAGAGCACGTAAAGTCGTCGGTCGTCACGTCGGTCTTGCGCCGTAAGTACCTATACCTATATATATAACCTATGAAAAAAAAACAATTTAAATTATCTACAAACAGAATTAGTGTACATTGACGCGAAACAGACGAGTGCATCGAAAGCAGAATTTCCAAATTATGTACATTATAAATAAACTTATGAAGAAATGTTCAAAGTGAATAAATTCTGTCATATAGTTAAAATTAAGTGAATAAAATATGAAAAATCATTAAAAGTAAAAAAAACACCTTTTATTTTCCTCATTGTGGTAAATTTCTAGGAAATCAGATATAGTGTCTATAATCCCATAATCTAAAAACTCAACTACTTATTAATATTTATTTAAATTATAATTTTCTATATATAGTTCGTACTTGGTTAAAAACATTCATTTGAATTCATTATGTTTTATACGAATTAATCAAGGTACAAACAAACAGTATATCAATTAATTTAATTTATATTTTCTTCGAGTTGTTTTTTTTTTCAATTACCTAGTTGACAAGTCTGATCACATTTACAGACGAATGACAATAGAGTCAAAATAGATATATTTAGTTACGTTTTCTAGTTTTGGAAGATACAATTTTGTTTTTGAAAGCTTTTTTTTTGTAATTTTTCATTAATTGATTATACATATATGAATTATTTAATATATTAGCATCTTACCCTCCTTGAGTGCATCACTAGGAATGAATGGTTTAAAAACACAGTGTCCTCTACGCGAAGCATACGAAGATAACCTTTTTTTGGACCAGGAACACCAAAGTTTCATCGCTATCGAATGAATAGCTTAGAAACATACAGAGAATAAAAAAAACATTTTTTATATAAATACTCGTATTTATATGCAGTAAGTAGGCATAAAATATTAAAATGTTACATAGCTATATAATTTTGTAGATCGCTTATATCCATAACTTAGACCAAAAAACACTACGTACAAGGTGTTATTATGTAAATGATGAGAGCCCGGTTTCGGCTGAGTCAATACGCGGGGTAATTGGCGACAGTCCACGCCACTCCGCCACCAACTTGACCTCCATCGGTGTCACGATTGTTTCAAACGACATAAAAAACACAAAGATCTCACGTTTTTTAAATAGATATGATTTTACCTTTAGATAATGGTGATTTAAAAAATAATGGCTTGTATAGGTATGTATTTGGTTTATAATATTTTTTCTTTATGTAATATATTTATATACAAAGACAATATGTTTAGGTTAATAAATATATTTTGATGTCATAGCCCCATACTTTAAGCCGTAGTCAACTTTCTCAACATTTATGAACCGTATTCCTATAATTATATATTAAAAATTTAAAAAACCCTACGCAAATTAATTGTCATTTAACGATTACACTGGCACGCGTGAAGCACTTAATCGATTAATCATACACCAAAATGCCTTACCAAATATGGCTAAGAACCACCGCAAGGAAACTGGCTTTCAAAGGAAAAAATCCACATCGAAATCGGTCCATCCGTTTGAGAGCTACGATGCCTCAGACAGACACACAAACAGATATTGACGTCAAACTTTTAACACCCCTCTTTTTGCATTGGGGGTTAAAAATATAAAAATCCAAAAATAAAATAGCAAATTATTTTCTTATGTATCCAACACAAGGAAATGTTTTGTAACAGAAAAGCCCGCTTCTTCACACTACGAATCAAGATTTCCCCCCAACCTTTATATACTTGCACGATTGCACATAATTATAAAAAGTCTAGACTTTAACATAGAACTCAAATTTTGATTACATTATTGTATTATAAACTTAACCTACTTAATTTTGTATTATGAAACAATAAAACAAATACCAGTAGATTTTAAGGTTCCGTAGCCAGTCTATAATATTCTATCTCAAATAACAACGGTTACCATGGCAACATGGCAATGTATTCTATTTCATTCTCTCGCCGGCTTAATCTTATATATTTATCCTTGTCTCTTTCTAGTGTTGCATTTCCGTTTCATCGAGTTTCAAATCACAACTATGATATCGTAGGTACATGTAATTGTATACCTATTTTATTTTACTCTTAACTTGATAAAATAAGAAAGTTAAAATATAAAATAAATTTAATTCTAGTACTATTGAATCCTCTGAACGCGAATCAGACTTGAATTTGTCCGATTTTTAAATGTTAATGTTAAAAGAGAATGAGCTTCTATAGTAAACTAGCAACTCACCAACTCAATTCACGTGGTGCTTGCAAGAGCTTTTAATCATTATGATTTTTTCCGAAATCTTCTACAATCATTGTCATATTTTAGCCAATTAACACAAAACCTTAATGAATTATACACCTTAACCTTCCTCATGAATCACTCGTCCATTGGTGCAAACCGTAAGAAAATCCGTTGGTAATTTTAGAGTTTATCACGGTCAGACATACAGACAGACGCGGTTAGTGGACTGTGTTTTATAATATGTAATATGTAGTTATTTTGTTAGTGTTTGCGGACCCCAAGAGCGTGGCTTGTTCGCAACATGAGAAGTATTCTTTAAGATGTTATTTTTGTAACTAAGCTACAAGTACTTTTAAAACACTTAAACGTACAGAAGATGTATTTAAGCAAATATGGACTTTTATTCGTCATTATATACCTAAGTTGAAATATTATAGTCACACTACTATTATAAATGCGAAAATTTATTATGTGTGTATGTTTGTTACTCCTGCACGTTGCAACGGACGAATTTGGATGATTTTTTTTAAAGTACACAGGTAGACTATGAACTGGACTAGTACATAGTTTACAATTAGTAATATTTGCCAACAGGTGGCGCTGCCTGTACATAATATAATATACACAAAAGGTAACTAGGGATGCACCTGAGCGAGGCGAGGGTAAGTTACTAGTGACGTACTACCAACTTGCCGCTCGTGACTCGGTGGAACGCAGAGCCAAAAAGCTGATCGACAACGAAAAGCTAGTGAAAACTAAGCTTCACAGCTTAGTTTATAGTTTTCTACAGACTATACTTCGGGGAGTGTGCCTACGAGCTCAATGGCCAGCGCCATTCTTCCATCGGAACACCAGACGTACTGCAGTATACCATCCTTTTTTGGTTGATATTCTGACTACTCGCACTAAGCGCTATGCGTCATCTTTTATAATGTGCAGAGCGAAGAAATGGAATGCCCTGCCTGCCTCTGTTTTTCCGAGTGCGTACAACCTGAAACTATTTAAGGTGCGTGTTAACAGGCTTCTCCTGGGCAAACTAAGGCATAGATAAGGTCTATGATCTAGCGATCATAGACCTTATCTATGCCTTCGAGCTAAGATGAAGGTCAAGAATAAGCCCATTTTTAATTAAAAATAAAAACTTTTTAACACAAAATAAAAACCGACTTCCAGGCACTAAAATGTAAAAAATAACTAAACGGAGGTGTTCAATAGCCTAATCAGATATTTTCGAAGCCGGTGCCAGTCGATGCAAAGCAAATCTAATATATTTCGATACGTAAAATACATATTATTTACCTATTAGATACACACACACACACACACATTCATATCTTAAAATATTGTCGGCTGGCACCGACTTCGAAAAGATCTGATTAGGTATCTATTCTAAATGAAAACCTCCGTTGAGTTATTTTTTACATTTTAGTGCCTGGAAGTCGGTTTTTATTTTGTGTTAAAAAGTTTTTATTTTTTCCATTTTTAGTGTAGACGTAATAAGCAGGTAATGTTTAAGATGAAAGTTTTTTAATAACATATTCAATTAAGCAATTTATTTAAAAAAAATATTTATTGTTGATTTTTAAAAAAACCGCTCTACCGATTTCGATAAAATTTATATGGGACCACCTGGGAATATATACCTTTTGAAACAAAAAAGAATTCCTAATCGGTTTAGGCGTCTTCGAGTAATCGGTGAGGTGAACATACATAAAAAAAGAAAAACAAAAGATTCCGACGAATTGATAACCTCCTCCTTTTTGGAAGTCGGTTAAAAAATAAAAAAACGTACATTATATTTTTTAAAATTTTTTAAATCTGTCAGTTTGTAACGTATACACTACACATTTATATATTAAATTAATACCGATAACACTTCGATGATTTCCAAAAACTATTTATTCTACTTTCAGTTCACAAGTAGTATCGTATTTAAATGTTATAATACTTACAAGCAGAAACAATATATATATATATATATATATATATATATATATATATATATATATATATATATATATATATATATATATATATATATATATATATTGTGTACATTTGTATATACATATGTATGTTTGTAAATACATATGCAAGTGAAGTCAGGGATATCACTAGTTTCTCACATTATTTGCTTATCAATTTTCCGATCTATAGTGGTTGATATCGAGTCACGACTCCAAAATGATTTAATTACTATTAAGCAAAATGACAGCTGTTCTGCAATTTACCGCGTATTTATTATATTGTCCTCAAGTTATCATTTGATAAATTACAGTTTCCAGACTAATATGCATTTTAGATAACAAGTTTATAAGAATTTAATTGATATTGCACGTTGGAATTTTGCGTAGGGCGAATTATTATATTAATTTTGTACGTCCGTAGTTTTGTATGATTTCGTATCGTTATAATTCTATACAGAGGTGTTAATACTTTTACCACGTTGCAAGAAAGATTGGGTAAAAGTGGTAAATGCCGTTTAAATTATTATTATAAATTGTTCTTTAAGCTATTTTATTGTTAACAATCTTCATCTAGTCATCGTAGAAATTGTTTTACGTCATTTTTATGACACCTAAATCATGAGTAAAGTTATGATCTTCTCCTGGCCAATCTCATTGAGATTAGCCAACTGCGCAGGAGATATTATAGTGCACAGGTGTACGCGCAGACACAACGTGCACTCTCTATTCCTTCTGTCACTCTCATACTCCAGTGGGACGACTGCTCGACACGACCAGTGAGAGTTAAGGCGCAGAACCAACGGCTTTACGTGCTCTCCGAGGCACGGGGGTGTAGCACCGTCAACTTCCCAACTCCGGGCTGTTACTGAGGCTTACTATACAGAAAGACTCAATAACTAAACTTGGCCCGACCCGGGACTCGAACCCAGGACCTCCGATTATACTTGTATATGTTACTTAATTTCTGTGTACTAAACATTCAAATCTGACCAGCCAATTGAGGTTAAAGGTGCAATAAACATGTACTTATACATACTTTGCCATTTATAATATAGTCTGACTAGTAATAAAACGACATTTATCATAATTATTTGACTATATTTACGAGATAATTTTATTCCGCGAAGTTAACAAAAAGTCTTTTTTTTGTACATAAAAGATAAATAAAACTTTCTTTTTGGATTTTTTCGCCGTTTTATTTTGATATTTGGTTCCCGACATATCGTCAGTGGATAGTTTAAAGTAGATTGTTAAACTAAGAAAGTCATATGATATAATCTGTACTGGGAGTAATTGCCTTTTGCCGTTATCCATTTTTATTGTGTAAATATATGCCACAGCTAATAAACATAACAAATCCTTTCTCGGTTTAAACCTTTTCAAAATTACCATTTAAATACTTATTAAGACCATTACCAGATGCTCGCTTAAAAGTATTTTTAATTTTTATATAGTAAATATGACTCAGAATTGACCACTCGTGATCACGTATGACAACTTATTTCCTTAGATTGTGTTCCCTCGAAGTGCTATCTCGGCTTCAATAAACATTATAACGAACGTCAATGAATGAATTACCAATAACATTTTTGTTTAACAGGGTTTATCCGATTAACGTAAAATCTTAAGTCAAGTATTATATTCTCAGAAATCTGCAAGTCACTGGCACCTTTTAATATTCAGTGCTTCCTTACAACATGAAGATCAAAGTTCTTAATAAGTGTATGTTAAGTGGCTCTCTGAATCATATTCTCATGTTTGTCCTGCGTCAGTCTAGATGATTGTATGTAGTTTGATTTACCCAGACCAGGCTAAAGTAGTTTTATTAATAAAAATAAAATGTGTTAAATATGATATGTACTTCTTTCTAATTCCATAAGAATTTTCAATGTTACTCGTAACATTATTAAGAATTAAAAATATATATAGTTATATACGTACATAATACATTATATAGCAACAGATTATGAAGTTAGACAGCCGGTCGCTATGTCAAGTGTTTTTTTTATTTTTCCAGGAAATCATTACCACGACAAAACCCTTTGTAAATCCATTTCTATACCTAATATCATTTTTTGTGAACAGCCTTAGAAGGATAACCTTCTTTTCAAAAAGAAAAAGAAAAAATCTTTTCTTAAAATATGAAAAAAAAATGTTTTGTCACTTTTTAATTAATTATATTACCTAATCATCCATATCATTTATAATTTTATCTGACTTTATATTATAAAGAAACTTTATACCATAAACATTTATAAACAAAAATTAAGAGATTCACCCTTCACATATATAATTATGGTGAGGTTGGTAATATAAGGAGATAGACGGAATAGTAGTAACCGATTTGTAATTAAAAAAAAAACAATAAAACCTTGTCAAAATAATATATAAATTCATTTATTACCTAACATGACTTGTACTCTAAACACATTCGTCATAACAATTACCAAAAACCATAATCTGATTGCAATCATTCAATAGCATTTGGTGTTATAAAACACCTGTTCTTATATACCACAAATATTATTTTGAACCTTATAATTAGTTTAATAAAGTTTAAAATATAAAATCAAATTACAGATTTATAACTAAGCATTCGTGATTAAGCTTCCCGGGACCCATGACATCATCGTGACCCCAAAGTCAAGGCTCATAAAAAGAAACACTCTGCAATTATAATTATTAATTTTCTATTTAACATAGTCGTGTAATTGAACGTGTTCTTATTAATTTTAATAGTAGCTGTTTCGGTTCTTCCAATATTATATGAATAATAGCTTGTGATATGATTATTTTGAATATATTAGAGCTTCAATTGAAACCAGGGACATGACGTTCTATGGCGGGCTGATAATTACAATTGCACTAGAGGTCACGAGTTTGAAAGCTCTGGTGAGTGTCAGTATTGTCCATCTAAACGTTTATCTATCTTTATATATATAATTCTTCTGTGAGTGTGTATGTCATTGAACTTCTCTCAAACGACTGGACCGATTTAGATGAAATTTTTTGTGTGTGTTCAAGGGGATCTGGGAATGGTTTAGATTCACAATTTTGTCCGCCGGACAATGTTTTTTTAATTAATTTTTAATTTATTAGTAGTTGTTGATTTTGGAATGTTTTACATTGGATCCGACAGACGGCGCTACCATCGCAGTGTAGACAGGACAACGTCTGTCGGGTCCGCTAGTATTATCTATAGTTCGACTGATGACAGACAAATCTGATGACAGGGACCTGATTACTTTGATATTTTCATGTGCAAATAATTGATAATTAGGTTTCTCAATGATGAAAAACGTTGTGAGAAATCCTGTAAGTCAATCAACTTAACTGGCTTTCGAGAGACATGTGAAGTCTGCCAAACCACTTGGCTAGGGTACTGAATTATAACTTCATTGTGCTCCCAACGTTAAAATTTGTTTGTTTTTTATTTTAATAAGCCCTAAAACAAATTGCCACAATAAACTCAAAATAAAACTAGTTTGTTTATAATACACGCGACAATCGATCGAATAGTGATTACACTGCCGATAAAAAGGACAGATGGACAGCGTTTATCAGAATTATTGCCAATCTTACTTGATCTCTGCCTCGTCATGGTACAAACAAAATAAAATAACTATATGTGACATTTTTTTAATATTTAAATTTGGTTTCTAAATTTTTAAAGGTTTTCATAAATGTTATTTAGAGCTAATAAAATGTTTAAGCCATAAATGTACGTATAAAAAATTGTAAGAAACACTAGCATTGAATTAGTTACTCAAATCAAGGTTGTTATATCGATGAATTTAAAGTGTTCCAATAATACAATTATAAATATGGGTCATTTAATTACTAAAGCTGTTTGATCATGATATTCGTCAATATTACACATGACGTGTGAAATATTTTCTCTATTAAAAAATATCAATAATGTATATCTATATACAAACATACAGCAGTCTGAAGCTTAATAAAAATATTATGGGAGAAATATATTGGTACCTACCTTCTATATACAAAGAAAATAAGAAATTGGGCATGGACTGTATCGGACTAAAATCTATGTATGTGTAAATAAGCAAAGACTAATTTTTGTATGCTAATGTTTATGGTATGATGTTTCTTTATAATATAAAGTCAGATAAAATTATAAATGATATGGATGATTAGGTAATATAATTAATTAAAAAGTGACATAAAACTTTTTTTTTAATATTTTAAGAAGAAAAGATTTTTTCCACTAGAAAAAAACAATTATCTTTCTTAGGCTGTTCAAAGGAAAATAACATTATATATGACAACGAAGCAGTTCAGAGCCTTTTTCTCCTCATTTTCTAAACCCTTTTTTTTTGTTTAGTAGCTATTGGCGAGCTATAGTGCTATCAATAAATTTTCTTCTAATTTTCAATAATGATTATGGTCGAATTTCCACAACTAGGTGAACACTAATATGGGAAAATGCTCGAGAAAGCTTTGGTAATTACTTCATAGGAATTAAATCTTATAATTCTTACGTATAAAGCTCGAAGCTTCCTCATGGATCGACTATACTGACTATTTTTAAATTAAATAAAAAAAAACTTATGTAACTCTAATTAAATAAAGGTATTTATTATAGTTAAATCAATCTAAAAGAAATTAATTCAATTCAATTATTCTGTTTCATGGCTTTTGGAAGTGCAAGTTGGACACAAAAAAAAAAAAACAAAAAAAAAATGAAATACGTCACATGTCATTGCATGAAATTAAAAAAATAATGATCTAAATCATGGAAAGTATCTCATACAGGCATATCGCGGCGTCTTTTTGTCGCAGATAGCATCAGACGCACAATGGCCACGTAATTGACAAACCATGACTGGATAAATTCAAGGCGAAGTCAATCGCACTTGTCTCTATAACTATTATAATTTTGTTTACAATTACATCTATTTTACTTGTTACGTAGCTTAAATTCTGTATCTTGAGGATATTGAAATTATATTTCTTTTGATACGTTGGGTTAAAAAATTGTGAGAGTAAAATTTTTACGATGTGAAGTTAGCTGAAAGCGACATGATGAAGTTAGCTGCATTCCTTTTACAAACAGAGTTGTGACATACGGAATGAAATCTTTAGCTATTTTTGTTCTGTTAAGACAAAGAAGTATAACTTCTTACGTGCGTATATAAGTACACACACACGTTTTTTTTATATGTCTTACATATTTAACTAATAAAATGATTATACTTATACGAAAAGTTTTATTTACACAAAAATATACATAATAGATTAAACACAAATCAACAAACAATTAACATTAATGGAACGGAGGACTTTAGAAAGAATAGTTTTAGATTGGATTCAGAAGTTTGGTAAAGATATAAGATATGCCTTCGTCAAGGTCACATTCACATAGGGGGTGGTTCCTGACTCTGATCCTTGCCCAGTGAATAGGAGTACCTAATGTGGGTATTTGACTACTTTCACAAAAACTTATCAGTAACAGCATCGATAACATATTTTTATGTTTGATTTTATTGATAATTACGAAAAAAAAGCAATAATATTATCAGTAAAAGGTATGGTGTAGACTGTAGACACCATTATCAAAATACTTCCGTCATCGATTGCGACCTCTATTAGCTTAGATGTCACGACTGTTTTATCACGATCAGAAAGGTCATGGTTAATCATTTGTAACAGGGCTCCTCAAACTAAAGTTCGCAATCACACCCAAAAAATTGAGCCAAATAAATATTTTTTCCATATTTATTAAATATTTTAATTTTAAAATGCTGCCTAACTTATAAAAAATAATAATATTATAACACTTTAAGAACTTTAAGAATACATATATTAAAATACAAATCTTTCTAAACCGATAGAACGCGTTTCTTAAAAATCTACTACAAATTTTAAAAATGTTCCATTTTTCACAAGCAGGTTTTGAAATTTGAAAACGTAAAAACCTATTGACTCCGATGTTTAAAAATGATGATCAGATTAAATTATTATTATGCTAGAAATATTGATTAATGACTCCGATGACCGTTGTATCTGTACTACTAATGATAGCGTGCAATTTTAAAGTTCATGATTTAGAGGTGATTTATTAGAGTTGGCTCGTGATGATATTAGAAACATCGGAAGCGCTAGCGACTGTGTCTAAAAGAAACACACTTGGATAAGTTAAATATGAATAAATAAATATTTTCCTTTCTAATCATAATATTATCATTTTAAACATGCATTAAATTTTATTCGTAACAAGTGTTTTTAAGAGTTACTTACTAGTCTTATGAACGCGAAAGTTAGTATCTATAGACTGTGTTTATTAATAAAACAAATTTGGAAGCGACAAAACCAATATTTAATTCTACATCAACAATTTTAACTTTTTTAACATTAACAATTATTTAATGTCGGCGTGGAGTCCATAATTAGCAAAAGGTAAGTGCGGATATGGAAGTCTATTTTTTACAGGGTTGCCATAGATTACGTAACACAGATAACAATAAATGTCACTACACACACTCTGCAAAGGGCGCGTACAGAACTCCCCCCGCTGGAATACCCTGGGTATTACTGAACGTTTTCTTCTTCGCAGAGCAGAGGGCAGAGCCTTGTTACAGCTCTGCGTACATCTCCCTTTTGTGTGGAGAGTTCCGCTACTCTGGCCACTCCATCTATTCCCGGAAACAGGAGCTTCACACGTCCCAACCGCCAATGCAGGGGAGGACAGTTCTCTTCCTGCAGAAGAACCAAGTCACCCACGCGTAGGATGTTGCTCTTATTGGTGCGCCACTTCGTGCGCTGCTGCAGCTCGCTGATATATTCATTTTGCCAGCGTCTCCAGAAATGCTGACGGGCTTGCTCCACTCGCGCGTAACGCTGCAGGTTAGATGCCTTCTCTGCCTCAAGTGTCGGGTCTGGCTGCGACGTTAATGGCCTACCAATCAGAAAGTGCCCTGGGGTAAGGGATTGGAGGTCATCAGGAGAGGATGATATGGGACAAAGAGGTCGGCTGTTAAGTATAGCTTCCACCTGTGCAAGCAAGGTGGAAAACTCCTCGTAAGTTAAATTGGAACTACCTACAACGCGCTTTATGTGATGTTTAGCTGACTTGATACCTGCTTCCCATAAGCCCCCGAAATTTGGAGCGTAGGCAGGGATGAAGTGAAATTTAATTTGTTCGACAGCGGAAAAGTCAGATACAAGGTTTGGTCCGTCTTTTAAAAAACTAGCGAGCTCCTTGGCAGTAGCGACAAAGTTCCTCCCATTGTCACTATAAATTTCAAGAGGTTTACCCCGGCGCCCAATGAATCTACGTAACGTTAATATAAAAGATTCTTTAGAAAGTTCGGTTACTGCTTCTAAGTGAACGCATTTATATCTGAAGCAAATAAAAAGACACAAATAGCATTTGGAAGTCTTTGATCCGCGACCCTTGCGATTTAAAATAGTAAACGGACCTGCAAAATCAACGCCAGTTGTTTGAAAAGGAAATGCTGGCATAGTGCGTTGTGCCGGAAGTTGGCCCATTAATGGTGTAACTGTTTTTCCTTGAAAACGTCTGCACTTTACACAGTTGCGTACCGTTCGGCGTGCCAGCTGTCTTCCACCCAACGGCCACACATAATTTCGTACTGTGTACAATAATAACTGAGGACCTGCGTGCATGTGTTGAATGTGCTCATACCGAAAAATAAGATCTGATAAGTGGTGCTTTGAATGTAATAGTACGGGATGCTTCTTGTCATAGCCATATTCTGAATGTTCTAGCCTACCACCAACACGCATGACGCCATCTTTATCTAAAAAAGGACTGAGCGATTTGAGATTGCTTTGAGCTGAAATATCACGGCTGTTAGCTAAAGCATGATATTCATTCGAGAATGATTGAAGCTGAGCGAATTTACAAAGTTGCGTAAAAGACTGACCTAATTCTTCGACTGTTAAAGGCCCAACTCGTTTTGTTTTAGGGCTTCTAGCATTGTGTATGAAACGCAAAGCAAACGCAAACGCACGTTTCAACCTAATTAAGTTAGAAAATCTTTCAAAAGGTATTAAATTTTCAGAAATTTGAACAGAATGAATTTTTATTTCAGGTAGTTCACGTTCAGCCTGCTCTCCCATGACTGGCCAAAAGGGTTCTGCCTTACTTAAAAATTCTGGACCTGACCACCACAGATCAGAATCCAGGAGGCTGCTAGCCCTGGTGCCTCGAGATATCAAGTCCGCAGGGTTGCAGGCTGTAGGCACATGGCGCCAATTTTCTGGTTTAGTAGTCTCGGAGATTTCTATGACTCTGTTAGCAACAAATGTCTTTAGTTTGCTAGGGTTGGTGCGTAACCAGCCCAGCACTACGCTAGAATCGCTCCAATGGACACAGCGTGAAATCTTGCACCGAAGGGACTCGAGAACAGATTTGCACAGCCGAGCAGCTAGCAACGCTCCAAGCAATTCCAAACGAGGAATCGTAGTCGGCTTGCTGGGATTAACCCTAGATTTGGCGCATAGCAATCTAACCACTACCTGTCCATTATCATTGCCGGACCGCATATAGAGACAACAACCATGTGCTGTAGCAGATGCATCACAAAAGGAGTGTAGCTCCAGGCTAACAGGTGAGTCGCAAAGCGCTAACCTGGGAACCTGAGCGAACTCTAACTTGCTCAGGTCCTGTTTTAACTCATCCCATGTTTGCTGCAAGTCACAAGGTACTGGTTCGTCCCAGCCAATGCTGCGACGCCATAATTCCTGCATGAGTACCTTAGGTCGGATTGTACAAGGGCTGATAAGGCCTAGGGGATCAAATATTTTAAATGAATGTGAAAGTATCAACCGTTTCGTTATATAATCACCTGTCTGATCTGGAATGCTTACCACGATATTCAAGGTATCAGTGGAAGGCTTCCATTGCAATCCTAAAATGCTAGTAGATTCGCTTAGCGTTAAATTTTCTTGTGGGTCTATCAGGGCACTTTCGAAAATTGAAGGTACGTTAGATTTGAATTTCCGCAGTGGAAAACAACCTGAGCGTAAAACGGATACGACTGTATAGAAAATATGACGCAAATCCGGTATAGAATCGGCTCCCGTCAAGAGATCGTCCATATAGAAGTCGTGTTGGATGATCGTCTTTATGAGATCATCCCCACATTCTTCACCCAAACGCCATAGACATTTAGTGCTTAGGTAGCTAGCGCTTGCGAAACCATAAGTTACCGTATTGAGTCTCAAAGTCTGCAGGGGACTATGTTCATCGCTTCTCCAGAGAATGAGTTGCAAGTTGCGGTCACTTTCGTGGACCTGAATTTGGCGAAACATCTTTTCAATATCACCTGTCAAGACGTATCGGTACTGACGGAAACGTAACAAAATGGAGAACAGAGTGTCTTGAATCGTGGGACCAATATATTGCAAGTCGTTGATTGAAACACCAGACGACGTAGAACACGATGCGTCAAACACCACCCTTAGTTTGGTTGATTCGCTTTGTTCCTTAATGACAGCATGATGACACAAGAAATAGGACGGCTCCACTCGTGGTCCGCTTAAGACTGTGCAGTGCCCTAACATGATATATTCGCTAATGAATTTAATGTATTGAGCCTTGAGCTCGGGTTGTGCCCTAAAACGTTTCTCCAGGTTTAAAAATCTTTTCCTGGCAGTGATGTACGAATTTCCCAAGCAGCTAGGTGAGTCCTTGAGGGGTAGGCGCACGCAAAATCTGCCTGCGGAATCTCGAGTTGTATGAGCCTGGAAGTGTTCCTCACAAGCCTTTTCATCGGGGCTTAATAATTTCTTTGGCGAGGCTTCTTCCAGCTCCCAAAATCGAATAAGCAACTTGTCGAGATTGTCTGCTTGAGGACTTACAACTTGGAAATTGCAATTTAAGTTAGAGGGCCGAGTTCCTATATAAATGGGGCCAGAAAGAATCCAGCCGAACTCTGAATTGATTAGGTAAGGTTTGTTTGAACCTAAAGATCGACGTTCGCATCCTACGATGTGCCAAAATAGATCAGCGCCGATCAATACGTCAATTGGTGACGATTTATGAAAATTTGTATCGGCTAACTGAACATCGGAAGGAATGTTGAGGTTGTTTGTATTGATTGATAACCTTGGGATGTCACCTGTGAGTTCCGGTAGTACCGGACATGTCAACTTCGCCACATAGTCACTGTGCAAAGATTTCAAATGAAAAGAACAAACTTTGTTTGTACAGTGAGAAGTTGCATTGCCTATTCCTATTAAGTTAATAGGCTCCACCGGTGTTGACTGTAAATCTAATTTATCTTGCAACCCCTTTGATATGAGGCTAGACTCCGCGCCGCAGTCTAATAAGACGCGCACGATTTCAGATTTATTATTAACTGGATTAACCGCCTCGACCAAGGCTGTGGACAGAAGAGTAACCTTATTGACATTATCTCTAGCTAAGTTAACAGTGAGCTCTGCTGCTGGAGGAGACACATTTTCTATTGCAGGTGCAGCATTGCCCTGAGGGCATGATTGTTTACCGTTGCTACAAATTAAGGAATTGTGACGCCTTTTACATTTGCGACAAGATCTCGCGCGACAGTAATATACGTCGTGACCCCTACGGAGGCAGTTGCGGCAAAGCCTTAAATTAGTCACTAGCGCCTGTCGTTCTTCAATAGTTTTACTTTTAAAATTCTCGCAATCATAAATTCGGTGTGTGCCTTTACAGACCTCACAAGTGGGAGCGTGACCCTTAACAGTCTCAATCCGCTCAGATATTGTGGCAGCAAAAACGTTGGCCTGTGCCCGCTTCTTCTTATTAAAATTATTTAATTCACTATTTGTATTACCGCTTGACCTTGGATGGTTGTAAGTTTCAAGAATGTCAGCACGGTCTTTAAGAAACTTATTAAACTGTTCAAGAGAAGGAGTGTCAGGAAGCGAATTTCTGAACTCTTCCCACTTCATACTAGTTTGACTTGCAAGTTTTGAAGAAACTATATGAATTATTAAAGTGTCCCAATATGTTGTGGGCTCACCAAGGCTTGCAAGTGCACGCAAATTCTTATTAATGTTATCTACTATAGACCTAAGCACCTTATCAGATTCACTTGACTTAATATCAAAGTTCAATAATGAATTTAAATGACCTTTAATTAACAAACGTTTGTTATCATAGCGCTCGCACAACAGGTCCCAAGCTTTATTGTAATTCGCTTGAGTTACTTCGAGGTTACTGATTACTCGTGAGGCCTCACCTTCCAGATAAGAGTTTAGATAGCAAAACTTGATCGGAGCAGGTATGAACTTGTTATCATGAACTAGTGAACAATAAAGATCTCTGAATTCAAGCCACTTGTTATAACTCCCATCAAATTTTCCTATCTGCAATGTAGGGGGCCTAAAACCTAGACCAGTTTGCTCATGGCAACAATGGGAGGAGCCGCCAACTTCTACCTTAGAACTGCTTGCTTGAGCGGTTTGAAATTGTTGAGCCGTAGCTATTAAAGTGGCAAATTCTAACTCAATGGAGTCGCGCTCCTCGAGCTCCTCATCTAAATTTGTTGGATTCAATACCTCAATCTGACCTTGTATCTCTTCAAAGGCTGTACATAAACTTTCAATCTTACCTAACTGAATATTCAACTTAGCAACTTCTACCTCGTCTACAGATGTTAATAATTTATATTGATTTATAAAATTTTTAAATTTAGTAAGACGTCCTTTTATTGAGCTTCGTTTTAAAATAAGTTCTCTCAGTTTAACCTCAGACATGATTGTATGTTTGCATTAACAATACTAAATTATAAAAAATTGCCTTACTTCAATCTCCGGGGAATCTGATATTCTGATCTAAGCAGGTAGCCTTACCCGAGCCAGTTAAATAAGGAGAAGGGACAGAAAGTATCAAGCCAGCTTTGTTTTCTGAAATTGATAAATGTAGGATGATAGAAAAAATACCTAACATAAAACAAATATAACAATAATATGTAAAATACAAATACTAATTATTTATCCTTATTTTTAGATGTAAGTTATAATATGTTAATGCAAATAGATTGATAATATAAATTTGAAACACTTTAATTAATAATTATCTTTACTCTTGCTTTTAGATATAAATTTTAGATATAAATTATTTAGATATGAATTATATATGTAACTACTGTATCTATATTGTCGTTTTAGGATGTAAATTATAATATATTATGATTATATAAATATGCTTTATGCTTGTAATTGTAGAAAATTGTAGTCCTTTGTACCTATTAAACATAAAAACTGAATATTTAATTTATATGAATCTTTTGTTCGGTAACCTGTAAAATTTGGTTAGAAATGCTAGGTACCTGTTGAGGGTTATTATTATATTATTGCATACACAGAATGGAGTCTATACTTGGAAGGAATTGATTAGAAGTGTAGTGGGAAAGGCAGGGACACTTAGCTGGTTGGTCGACTGAAGAAGTGTTGTGGATTCACATCCACAATGCTGCTGCTTGCCCATGTAAGATGTTGGATGCTGAAGGGTTTCTCTTTCTTGGAAGTCGCTTCTTGGGCCCAGGTGCTGCGATGCTACTTATTGACCGGCACGTGGTTGGCCCAATGTGTCTATTTATATGTAGGAACTTAATCGTCCTGTCACGGTCGCCACTTGTTTATTAATAAAACAAATTTGGAAGCGACAAAACCAATATTTAATTCTACATCAACAATTTTAACTTTTTTAACATTAACAATTATTTAATGTCGGCGTGGAGTCCATAATTAGAAAAAGGTAAGTGCGGATATTAGACATGCGTAGGTCCGGATTGAAATAGTTCCCGGAACTATGTCCTAGGCCGAAACGATATCGTTCCAATCCGCGATGTCAATTGAAACAGGTTCACAGTTCCATATAGTTCCGCATGTGCAGGAGTGAGATGGAGCGAGAAACGAATATATTGGACCGATCACCGGAGCGACTGACTGAACTGAACGTAACCGACTCCTGCCGAACCTACCCGAGCTATAGCTATATATTAAATTTTAAGGTGCGTCCTCACAAGCGTTAATTTTTTTTAGTAATCTGTTAAGCCGCGTCCACATGCTGGGCGCTTGCCACAAGCACCGAGAATCATAAACACGTGCCAAACACCGAACACAAACTAAATACATTAAATTAAAATAAAAAAGCCTTTCATTTCTTGCGCTTACTAAAATTGCTATTAAAACAATTTAAGAAAGTAAGTATTTATTAATTATTAATAAAATCCTTTCATATTCAGTTATATTATAATAATAGTATTAGATCTAATGTTATATTAATTATGATGTATATAAAGAATGTTTATTAATTTAAACTTTTTTCTTAATTTTTACAATACCTAATATGAATTAGAATTTATAATTAATAAAAATAGTAACAATAAATAATTAAAAATTAAAATCAATGTATATAATAAAATAATTCATAAGTTAAACAATCATTTACAATATTTTCATTTATTTGAAGTAGTTTTTTTTAAGTTTTTATTTTCCATTTTTAGTGTAGATATAGTAGATACCTAGTACCAAAGTAAGAAGAGGTCAAACAATAAAAAAAAATATTTATACGTGTCGAATTGAGAACCTTCTCCTTTTTTTCGTGGGTTTAAAATTATTTCATGTTAAAAAATGTTAGGTATGTGATGTTATCTGCTGCACTGCTGTGTGGAAGCGCCATTATATCGCGTAGGTACTGTGTGTAAACTTCTGTAGTGACTAGTGCGTGTGCGAGTATTCGCAATAATTATAATGTCATCTCTTACTATGCTATTACAATTAATAATGTGCCAACTTCACTGTGCGTTAAAGTCGATAATTCATTGATTAAATCTGATTTTCGTTTTGAACTTTTAAAACATTAATAATATATTTTTAAATTATAATACTCTTTCACTTTTGACACAATATTTTTGTACTTTGTGGCGTTCGTCTAGAGTCACATTGCGCGCGAAAGCACCGTAGTTTTTTGAAGTTGGTTTAATTTTTTTTTAAACCTTTTTTATTTCGTAATTTTTAGTTTTAAGTAAAAACTGAAATAGTTTTTGTAAAAAGTAGTAATTACAAAAAATACACTTTTTTATCCATATCTTCAAAACCAATGAACCAATTTTGATGAAATTCTTACTATTCCCTAAGTTAAAATAAATGTAAGCAAATAAAAAGGCATGATCACGTCGGAATAGTAGATTCGGCGAAATGCGTGGACAAACATACATACACACAAACAAACAAACAAACAAACAAACAAACAAACAAACATACATACATACATACATACATACATCTATACACCTATAAAATTTTGTATATTTGCTTCGAAGCCCTAATATATCATATTATGTTAATATCTTGCAGTTCTAATAATATTATATACATACGTGTCGAATTGATAACCTCCTTTTTTTTGAAGTCGGTCAATTAAAACAATATCTCCCGCTATGCTGTCCTCGGGAACCGATGACAGTGATAACCTGTTAAAATCGGAACGATCGGATCGGATGAACTATCGGAACTAGATAGTTCCGCGAACATGTTTCGTGAACATAGTTCCTTTATGGAAAGGAACTATTCCATGTTCAATCCACTCCAGGACCTAGTTTGCGCATCTCTGGCGGATATGGAAGTCTATTTTTTACAGGGTTGCCATAGATTACGTAACACAGATAACAATAAATGTCACTACACACACTCTGCAAAGGGCGCGTACAGACTGTATGTATGTATTTGTAGGTATTCTTCACGTTGAACAGATAGGCAGATTTTGGTGAAATTTGGTATACATTATATACATATATGTACATAGTAAATGATTAACACATAAACTACTATTAGTAATATAATTTGCCAAAAAGTCGACCTCTATATAATATTATGAATACAAATACACCTAAATTGCTCGTAAATATGTAATACAGGTTTAATTTTTGTTTTATATATAGAAACTTAAAATTATATTGAAATATAAAATTAAAGATTATTTTATTAGACTTCTTTGAACGATTAGATATTACTAACATAACCAAACTAAATTAAGATGAAAATTTCTGATGCAATGTCAGTTCTTTTGTGACCGTCGCCATGGGCACCATTAATCATCCTTTTTTGTCACCTTCTGTGCTAACATGACGAAATTATGTTCTCTGTGGTAGGATAAAAGGGTGCCTTGACCATCACAAGCTAGTCACCGCTGACTTGTAATTAGTTTTTAAATTGGATGCCTAACAAAAAATATTCAAAGTCCCCGCGAACCTCACCGTTATTATGATTCTACGAACGAAATTTTGTTTTGGAATTCGTGATTTAGATTTGACAAATTACTTCGGACGGGAATCGATTTGTTTGGTCATTAAGCGTCGTTGTCCGTCTTAACTTGATTTTGAACGCTTGAGAAAAAACACCCAAATTTTCCTCATACAATTAAACTAAAATTAGTTTTATGTGTCATTTTTTCCTTTTTTCTGAATTTGCATGGAAAATTATGATACTAAATACTCAATTCTTCAATTATACTTAATTAAAATTCGATTGTAACATGTATAATATGTTTAAATGAAATAAAACTCATATTCTGTCGAGATCAAGGACCGATTTAATCGGAAAGGTTATTTGACCTATCGAGGGGACTGAGAGCTGTCGATCAAATCCTCCAATTTTATATACAGAGACACCTTCAAAGGCGCTATTATATTAAAGCTGAACAAGACGTCAAGGCGATTTAAATACGTCTTTCCTTGCTTCAGACGCCATGAAAACTACGTTTTGATAATATTTGTTTTCCTATCAAACGTAAGAATTGTAGTAACTCATTTAACTATTAGATGGAAAAATATTATATTTAGTCGTAGCAACAAGTTTTATGTTTTTTTTTTATTATTTTTAGGGATGTTTGCTAAACCTCTTTCGTATAAAAATTTTTTTTTATTAAATTCTGTACTTTAACATTCAATTCAATTCTTTAAGTTTATGGCTTCTAGGAATACTTTAACATTACATGATTTCCATTTTCAAGTTTTCAAGTGAGCACGTATGCATACAGGTATATTTATACATCACTAACGTTTCTTGCGGCTCTTAGTCCAATTATGTATAAAAATATCTTTAAAATATATAGTCTATGTATTACTCTGATCTATAACCTATATTTCTGTAAAGTTTCATCAAAATCCGTTCAGTATTTTTTGCGTGAAATAGTAACAATCATCCATACATCCATTTATGATTTATTCTCACAAACTTTCGCGCTTATAATATTCGTAGGATCCACGCTACTTCACTGGCTCTCGCATTTCAAATCGGAAACAATCGGCTGGTTGACGTTTGCGGCTTTGGTCCTCTATACTGCCAATCTCGTTAGTGGTGATGGTCACATATCAAGTTATTAAGAGCTACGTGAGACACATTCGAGATGCGTTTTGCATTCGTCCCTAAGTGGATTGATGGGTATTGGTAATAGGAGCAATTGTTCGCTTGAATGCGGAACTTCTTTACGTTTGTATACGATTTCTTTAAGTGTCAATTAAGTATCGATATGATATAAGAATGTTTAATACCCCATAACGGATCAAACAAAGGATAATATCTAGCTCACTGTTTTTATATTTTAAAAGATCTGTTTCGTGCAACACTAATTTTTATATTAATATTTTGTAATAGAGAACTATACGAAAAATATCGTTGTAATAGAACAAAAAGGATACTTATTTGGCTTGATGAAGTAAAATTTTAATTTTTGAATGCATGCTATAATACAATTACGCTGGACGCGTACAAACAAAATTGGCTACAAATATAACGAAATATAGATCTGTTCTTCTACGTAGAAGAAAATTGACTTTAAAAATGGACAACAAGCGAAGTCTAATAATTTCTTAATTAAAAGCTGTAATTTACTTACCACAGATACATTGGTTATGTTAAACAAATAATGAGGATTTTTAACCGACTTCCAAAAAGGAGGATGTTCTCAATTCGTCGGAATCATTTTTGATGTATGTTCACCGATTACTCGAAGATGCCTGAACCGATTTGAATTTTTTTTTTGTTTCAAAGGGTGTACTTTCCAGGCACCGACTTCAAAAATATATGATTAGGTATCTATTCTAAATGAAAACCCCCGTTTAGTAATTTTTTACATTTTTTTACATTATAGTGCCTGGAAGTCGGTTTTTTTAAGTTTTTATCATTTAATGTTCACTTTATGTTTCATAACAAGCTGTATACAATTTAAGATTGATAAACATACCTAATCAATATCATATTGCATGTATCGTAAAAAAACAGTCTCACGGGTCTGCCTTAGCCGTCTATCAACGTATGACGAACGCTGTCAATTATATATTTGCATGTACAAAAATAATTTGTATAGGAAAATAGTATTTATTTTATAATAAATAAGGTGGTTAGTTTAGTTTATTAGGTGTGTAGATAATGATGTTTGTATACGTCGGGATGTCAAAGCGTCGCGAACGAGCGCCGACGCAGGACAGTCTCGTGCTGAGAGCAATCTCACCCGACCTCGAGTAGTGATGTGCAATGTAGCTGTGCAGTTGTTAAATACTAGCGACTTACCCTCTCCTCGCTCAGATGCGTAGGTGTCTAGCTGAAGCCTGTGTCACTCCAGGTCATAGCCTATCTGAAAACAAAATTTCATTAAAATCCATCCAGCCATTTCAACGGAAGGAGTAACAAACATACATACAAACTTTCACTTTTATAATAATAGATCGATAAATAATTGTGTTATAGAAATTATTTAATTTATGTAAAATTTCAAATAAAGAAAATATCATCTACGTTGTGATAATTAAGTAAATTAAATAAGGAAGTACTCGTACTTATTTACATAAACAAGTACATATTTTTAATTAAGTATTTTATTAGAAGTGTATTAGATGTGAGATGTTTATTTCGAAGTATACTTTAACGATTCATTAGTTTTATCGATATCGATGCGCAAACGAGAACATCATTAGTGTCGCCGCGGGGCGCTCGGGTCAGAGAGTCGAGACAATCTGTCAAATGGAAAGAATCACACACGAACAGCATCTCACACCGCCGCCCTATTAATCATATTTCGGCCTTTTTTTACCATTTCCGAATATATGTTCTCTCATATAATAGCTACTATTCTGACGCCATTTTACATAATTTAATAAACTCTTAATACAATGACATAGAGTTTGAAATCGAATGAATTAAAATCATATGTAGAGTTCCTCAAATACGTTTAGACAATACTTGTCGTTTGATTCGAGATGTCATGTTTGTGATGATAAAATCTTGACGAAAATTTTTTCCCTGACAGGGTCATACAGGTACAAGCTCTTCAATTACATTTGACATAGTTATCGTGATTTGTAAGATTAACAATTTGTTCAGAATCGTGAACCAAATTCATGTATTTCTTTAATTTGTTTTTGGCAGAGCGTTTGCGTAAATATTGATTTTAATGGACTGTAACAATAGCATGGTACAATAGAAATTATAATATGTCGATTACATAATTTCGTGTATTGTCTGAGTGATTAAGTCTGTTAAATTTGAAATAATATTTGCTTAGTAACTATATAAAACCGAAATTAATAATAAGATAGAAAGAAAAAAGTTGATAAGCAATACTTAAGCTGAATACTTGTTTATTTTAGCTTTATACTTAGCCATTTTTAACGTCCCACTGCTGGGCATGGGCCTCCCTTCAATATGAAGGGGATCAGGCCATAGTCACCACGCTGGCCAAGTGCGGATTGGCGGCCTGCACATGGCTTTCGAAAACTTGTAAAGTTCTCTCAGACATGCAGGTTTACTCACGATATTTTCCTTCACTTTAAGGCAATTTTAGCCTTAGAAACTTTAAAAGCTTAAAATAAAAGCTCTCTCTTACTATACTCTGTCTCTATCATATATATTTTTTTATTTCTGTATTATTTTCTATTTCAAATATTACTTAAACAAAAGTTAAACACAATATTAGATGTAATAAATAATCTAATATGAACTTAAAATAATGAAATACGAACGTGCTGTATAATTTATTCGTAAGCCCAACTTAAAAATTAAGAAATATGAAGTACCGGCCTTGCTATAAAAAGCTTATAATAGTCAATAAAATCATCCATGACATTTTTAACACGTACTCCCATAGACAAATTAAATAATCAACAACAATTGTTAATAATAATATTCCTAACGCTTATTCCAAAGACATAAGGTTTAAATTAAGCTTAAATTATTTTCAAAACATGATCTTGACACAATATCTCATAATTTACTACAACTAGTACGTCGCCGGCGGCAATAATCTTTATTTTGATTATCCCGTTTCGATGTAACCATAAATATTATATACGTAATTGATATAAATAGTATAATAAAATTTATATAATATATTCTAAGTTTGTAAATTGAATCTGTATTAAGGTATAAATAGGCAAAGACATAACACTATAGTATCTTTTCCTTCCCTGTTTGTCAACCGATTTTTTTAATTTTTTCTTTAGTATTGACGAGCTTTTATCTACACTACTATTATAAAACGCAAATATATTTTTTTTTTATATTTTTGTTCGTTTTGTCAATTTCTCAAATTTAAGATTATTTTGTTTAGATTATTGTTTTTAGTGAAATTATTGAAATATGAATACAATAAACCTTAATTGTTATGAAAATATGGATTTTACACAAAAATGGATGTTTACTATTCGTTAAAGGTATGTTTGTTTATCTATTAATGACTTATCTATATATATAAAAGAAAGTCGTGTTAGTTACTTCGCTTATAACTCAAGAACGGCTGAACCGATTTAGCTGAAAATTGGCAGGGAGGTAGTTTAGAGCCAGGAGAAGGACATAGGATACTTTTTATCCCGTTCGACCGCGTTCAAATTTTTATGATATTTTAATTTTTGGATTTCTCTTAGTCCGGAATAGGTAAGTATTAAAACATATAATTAAAATGTGAGAAAGAAAGATTTTTTCTTTTTATATCTATTTAAAACGTACCTAGCGACGAACCCGAGCGAAGCGAGGGTGAGCCGCTAGTTTAGGTATAGAAATATATGGAAAGGTTCTAACTTTAAGTCTCAATAACTTTTGACTCTTTAGTTTCCTCAAATAAATTTTATATATTTGGACTCCCTATCGTCTCCCCTATTCAAAAATATCAATCACCCACTCCTCCAGGAGCCGCGTCCCTTATACTAAACTGTATCCTAAATATATGTACATAGATAATGTTAAATGGATGTAAGTAGTAAGTACATATATCGTTGTACATATCGCTAACAAGTATATTATTATTATTATTTATGTTAGGTGTTGTGCCGAGGTCGGCCCTAGCTACGTCGACCAGTTTTGGTCCATTGTAGCTCCCTTTATAGTGAGTTCAAAGTTCTCCGCTTAGTCCTGTTGATTCCAGGAACTTCCAGATTTTCTGAGCGGGGAGCATCTGTATCTCTTCCGGTTGCATAATATGCTGCCCTAGATAGATACTTCTGCGGTGCATGAGAAGACCGCTCACAAGTATAATAAATAGTGCCTATTATGAGTACTATAAAAAGGCGAATATCACTCCTTCATGCTTAAATAGCTGGACGGATTTGGAAGAAATTTAGTACACGTGAATTAAAACATAGGCCTGGCCGCAAAAACTACTAAAGACATTTTGATGAAATTTGGTATGATGATAGCTGGTTATCCGGGTTAACATATAGGATACTTGTTACTGCGGGAAAATATCTCATCTTTGAGCTAAACGTTAAAACGTAACGAACCCGAGTGAAGCGAGGGTGAGTCACTAGTGTGTATATAATATCACCTATAACTAAAAAACGGCCAGAGCCTCGCTCGAGCAATGTGAGTCTTTTCGTCGTTTCTATACTGATCCAAGATGGAGAACGAAATGAACAGTCCAGATAAGAAAAACGGTATTAGCGTTTGGAAATATGACGTCAAATTATAAAAACTATAAGAGTTTCATTATACAGGTAAAATACGTAACGATACATTTTAAACGGAAATTCCACTAATCTTTAATTAAAACGTAATAAATTATGAAGTTTACAAAACAGTGCCACACAAAAACGTCCCATATAGCCTCAATGCTGTTTTATGTACATAGTTTATGTAACTGATATTTTAGACTAACGGTTTGTCGCGGTTGCGCCTGCGTCGTTTAATTTTGTAAATTAACTCAGCTCTCAGTAGGTCGTAGTGTGATCTATGATAGTATATAACTTTCTTCAATAAATGGGTTATAAATAAAACGCAAAAAGATTTTTTTAAATCAGGTCAGTAGATCAAGAGTTATCAGTAGGTAGGCATGAGCAAACAAACACACTCTTCAGCTTTATATATTAGGATAGATAACGATCGTCATGGCAACACTTTACCGTAACCTCAAAGCTCGTCCAAAAGTTCATTAATCGTGATAGCATCTAAAGCCAGTTATTGTATAATTTTAATAAAACTACAATTGTGACATGATTGTTCAATTCATCAGTCAACATTTTGACGCAACTTTCGAGAGTCGTGCAATTTAGGGTAATTGTTTTTTTTTCAAAGCTTTGTCTTTTGTCTGTCTTTGCACATGTAGAACATACTTCAAATATATTTATTAAGAAATTAAAAAAAAAACCTGCCTAGCTCATTTTAAATTTAACAATGAAATAATAGTAATATCCTCCTGACAGATTTCATCTGCACAGGAGAAAGTAAACTAGTGCACTACGTCTAGAAACAAACGCAGTCTCTAATACTTTCTTAGATTTACACGAATATTTGATATTTGAGTCTCTCCCGTGACTATTATTACTATAAAGCATTCGAAACGTCGGAAACCAAAAATCATAATAAATCCGCAAAAAAAACCGAAAAGATAGTTTTATTTAAAGACCAGTCTCTATTTCTTTTAAATATTATACTATTGTGCCACGACAATTCGACGAATTAAAAATACACCGTACGCTCGAGGCGCAGTGCTGAACATGCCTTTCGAGGTACGGTGTGTAAATAAATATGTACCGCCAACTTCCCAACTGCGTGTTGCATCTGAGTTTTCTGAGAAAAACGCAATTACTACTTTTTGGCCCGACCGGGACTCAGACCAAGTTACTCTTAATCCGCAGCCGTACATGCTAACTACTAAAAATTATCTCCCATTTGAATATAGGTACTTATATCTTATACAATACATATATTAATAAAAAACTACATATACATATTGTATGTCATAGGCTATTTGACTAAGAAAAATATTTACTATCGCCATTATAATTTACCGAATTTAAACTAGGTACTTTAAAACATCATGCTAGTTATCATACTTTTTATGTAAGTTTGATGCTCGAGAGTAAAAACTGTTGATTACTTCATATAAGGAAGGGGGAGTAGTTATGAGCAATAATATTCAAAGGTGTCAATTTTATCTTGATATCGACGAGTCATTAATTTTATAGGTAACTGTCAAACATGATCGTGAGATTAAAAAAAATATTAATTTGTTTACGACTTATCCAGACAGCCGGCAATAAAAGCTCTAATGCTTGAAACTTTATCAAATTACCTATTACTATAGTAAGTAATTTTTCCCAAAACCCTTCTACTATACCTATTTGCAATAGATTTAATATTTTAAAAAATTTTCACCGGTCGTGTCTCGTGTCATCCCACCGGAGTATGAGAGTGACAGGAATAGAGAGTGCACTCGTGTCTGCGCGTACACTTGTGCACTATAATATCTCCTGCGCAGTTGGCTAGTCTCAATGAGATTAGCCGCCGTGGCCGGAATCGGCTTGGAGAACATCATCGTCATCTTTAAAATTTTACTACTTTCTGCTTAGTACTTGTGATGGTAAGTGAGTACTCGTATAATATATTTTAATGTTCCATTAGTATCCATTGTGCATGACCGAAAAGCTCTTAAAATTGACTATCGGAAAAAATATCTGTCTACTTAGGTACATGTAATTCGTGTAATTTTTGTATAAATTAAACTAATTAAGATCAAATTTATGTACAAATATAGATAACTTTTTCTGATTTTAACATCATATAGTCTGAACTATATACAACATCTTTAGATTTAGCGGCGAGACTAACGGCTTGCCCTGACGTCATC